AGTGGTGCCCATACTGGGACCAGTACTCACACAGGGGTGGCCAGACTGGGACCAGTACTCACACAGTGGTGGCCAGACTGGGACCAGTACTCACACAGGGGTGACCAGACTGGGACCAGTACTCACACAGTGGTGACCAGTAACATTACATAACATTTTACCTGAAAGTTTCTGCAGTTATTTGTGTTTTGTTCATTTCATCATGTCCTCATACAGGCAGTGACTACCTTATAAACATGGTGTCAGAACCATTTTAACAGTGGGGGGACACACTGTTGGGGGGGGTCTGGGGGTCCTCCTCCAGAAAATTAGAACAAAAATAGATGCCATTTCCTGCATGCTGGTGTATTTTACCAGGTTGTTTAACAGACTTTTACCTACATAAATAAAGACTTGTTTTAATAATTATTTCAGAGACAGATTCTTCATTAAACTACTTCCATCATCCTGTTTTTAAACTCACTGCTACAGCTGAGATAAAATTAATTAATGTGATACAATTTATCATATCCAATGATTTTACGGGTGCTTTTTACTTTTATATTGTTTATTATTGATTTATTTTTAATTTTAACACGTCATTGGGCCAAATAATGACCTTCAACTGAATGTTTAAAACTAATATTAATAACTTTACCCAATGAACAGGTGCAATACTAATAACCACTAACAGTGAATTTAGAGGAGTGTTTCACTTTTTATGGTTTAGTCATAAGTCTACTCATAAAAAACAGAGCATCCTGCAGCCTTCATAGCACAAAATTAAACTGTTATGGTGACAAAACAACAAAAACATTTGCCACCAGATAACAAAGAAAACCATCACTTTTTGTGTTACTTCTTTGAGCTTAGTGATGTTTCAAACTGTTAAACACTGACACCAACTGTTCAGGAGGATTATTACACCCCTACAGGTTGTTTCACTGTGGAAGGGGTGTGTACAGCAGGGTGGCCAAACATTTGTCTGTGGTGACACCCCCGGCCACCCCCTGGCTCCGCCCCTGCCTCTCGGCACACTAGAGTCCTGCAGATCGATCTGAATATTAATATTTTGGTTTCCAAGTTTGTTTGGCTTGGATCGATACTTTAATTTTTTTTGTCCCCTCTCCTTCCTGTGTTTGTGTCAATGATAAATGGAATATATTTATAGCACCTTTCATTTCCAACCAGCTCTTTACAATCATTTATCCGTTAACACACATTCATCATTCTACACTCAACAAATCATCCTAATTAAATCACGTGTGTCTGGATCACATCAGACTGTGGAGCTTCAGGGTCTTGCTCAGGGGCACTGAAGGGACAGTTCCACACTTTAAATAGAGGTGCAATCGAACCATCAACTCTCTTGTTTAGAGGATGACTCCTTTAACCACTCACCTACAGCCAGCTGTGTTCTCTGTCAGCAAAATATCTCATAAACCACTGGTTGTCTTTTAAAGAAACTCTCAGTAAGTAATGATTGATTCATGTTTAGAGTCAACTAGAAGTAAAACTACCATGTTAACATTTTTATTGAGTAAAGTAAGTGAGTACTTCATTGTAAAAATATTTAAAGTATTAAATTTGCCACCAATCCCCTCTATCTAATCCACATGAGTTGTTTTTTGAACCAGTTAAGTCGTTTAAAGATGGTGCATTCTTAGTGCTGCTGGTGTTGAATCAGCTCACTGTTCTTGAAGGAGGCTCTAATGGTTCTGTCCTGTTCTGCAGAGGTCCAGTGGACTGACTGCAGTACTCCCCTCTCACCACTGATTACTTTCAAATCACTGAAAGAAAACAAATCACAAATCCTTCATGCCATGTGATGTGAAGGTCATTTGTAAAGCAACACAGAAAGTACAGATACTTCATGTAAAATATACTGGAGTAAAACTCTAAATTATCTATGAATAAATACTTATGTAAAGTACAGATACATGAAAATATAAGTACAGTACATCCCAGCAGTGGTAGTATCTGAGAGTCATTCCTAACAGACACTAAGTGTGGCACATGTGCATGTTTTAATATATGTTAAAAACGGATCAAACCTTACAGTAACTCCATCATTTCTGAAGTCAGATGAAAGGTGGGGGTTTGAAGAAACGACACCTTATTTATGTCATCGTTATGAAACAAAAAGAAAACCAGATAAAGTTCTAAAATATTTATCTTGAAAACTTTAAATTGATTAAAAATTTAAGAAATGCTATTANATGTATGATCTATGAGTGTTAGTCACTGTAAATGAGCTCCCACTCTCTTTAAGAAAGTCCAAGTATGCAATCACTGTGGTTTCAGATGCTTCAGTGGCACAGCATGATCGTCCAATAGTCCAAACAAGGAATTTGCGCCATGCATACAAATACTGCTTCTTAGTTCCCGGTCGCCAGCTAGAACAGATGACATCAATGACTGAGTCCTGAAGTCCCTGATGTTTGAGGACACTCCTGATACTTTGCAGGCGGTGATTGTCAGCTGTCACCGAAGTGGGTGGAAATGGATCAGGTCGTGTGAAGCCACCAGAAGATCGTTGTGACATGGAAGCCTAACAGGAAAATCAATAAGAGCATCAATCAACAGAGGGAACCAAGCTGCTGTTCTCCATAATGGAGCAATAATAATAGCTTTTAGAACTCTATCCCTCCAGATTTTCATCAACACCCTACTTAACATACAGAAAGGTGGAAAGATGTACGGCTTTCCACCTTTCCACCTGATTTGTCCAGGAAATGGAGAAAGCATCGCATGCACAGGCCCCAGGTTCAAACCTCCAAGACACAAATTTATCAAGTTGAGAATTGTGCCTATTAGCAAACAAATCTATGTCTGGGAGAAAAAACTGACAACAAATTCTAGAAAATATCTCAGGTTTTAGTTTCCAATCTGAACCATCTGAAAACACTCTAGATATTGTGTCTGCCTCTGAGTTATGTTTCCCAGGCACATGCTGTGCAGTAATAAAAATGTTTGTCCATGCACCAATTCCAGATTTGTGCAGCCAGGTTATCCAACTCTTCTGAGGCCATGCCCCCCATGTAATTAATGTAAGCCACTGCAGCTGTACTGTCAGATTGAATGCATACATGAATAACACAAGATTGACTGAAAAAAGCCTTAAGACAGAGAAACACGCTGAACAATTCCAGAAAATTAATGTGTTTGTGGGACTCTGATGTAGACCAACGCCCACCTGTTTTATTGTTATCAAACACACCACCCCAGCTTTCCATGCTGGCATCTGTCTGAACCCAGGCTGAAATATCTGCTTGTCGGATTAATTTGCCATTGTGAACTTTTATGTTATTCACCCACCAGTTGACCTCAGCCACCGTAGAGGATGACAAACTAATAATCATATCAAAATCATTACCTGAAGCCAGAGCCTGAATTTTCTCCCGCTCCATACGTCTGTAGTGTAATGGACCAGGTAGCACTGCTGTGAATGTGTGGATAATCATACCAATAAATCTGGCAAGCAGTCTGATTGTAATCTTGTCTGCTGTAAGTATGACGTGAGCCTCRGRCAAAATGGCATCTATCCGTTTGTCAGCCAGATACACTCTGAATGTTACAGAGTCAATAACAAAACCAAAAGTACTATCTTATAGGTGGGAACCTGAACAGACTTCTCAAAATTGATATAAAATCTTGGCTTTTCCAACTTTGTAACCATAAGCTGAGTCTGGGCAACACTCTATGGTAACACCTGATTCATGATCAATGAGTCATCAATTTAAAAAGTGCAACGGATGCCTTATTGTGTGAACCAAGCAAACACTGCTTTAATTACTTTTGTAAACACCCGAGATGCTGAGCTAATGCCAAATGGTAACACCTGATGTTCATGCAGAATGTCCCTCCAATAAAATCTGYGGTATTTTCTGAAGTCTGCATGAATCAGAATGCTAAAATATGCATCARGTAAATCCAGAGATGTGAAATAATCATTCTCTTGGATAATGTCTAGTAGTTGTGAAAACAGCTCCATCTCGAAATGCTCATATCTAACAAATTTATTCAGCCCCTTCAGATTTAGAATAGGTCTGAGTTTACCATTCTTTTTTGGTCGAACAAAAATATTAGAGATGAACTGGCCTGAAACAGGTTCCACTATCCTGACAGCACCTTTGG